GATGAATGGATAAAAAAAATGTGGCATTTATACACAATGGAGTATTACTCTGCATTAAAAAATGACAAAATCATAGAATTTACAGGGAAATGGATGGCACTAGAGCAGATTATGCTAAGTGAAGCTAGCCAATCCCTAAAAAACAAATGCCAAATGTCTTCTTTGATATAAGGAGAGTAACTAAGAATAGAGTAGGATCAAAGAGCACGAGAAGAAGATTAACATTAAACAGGGATGAGAGGTGGGAGGGAAAGGGAGAGAGAAGGGAAATTGCATGGAAATGGAAGGTCCCTCAGAGTTATACAAAAGTACATACAAGAGGAAGTGAGGGGAAAGGGAAAAATAATACAAGGGGGACAAATGAATGTCAGTAGAGGGGGCAGAGAGAGAAGAGGGGAGGGGAGGGGAGGGGGGATAGTAGAGGATAGGAAAGGCAGCAGAACACAACAGACACTAGTATGGCAATATGTAAATCAATGGATGTGTAACTGATGTAATTCTGCAATCTGTATATGGGGTAAAAATGGGAGCTCATAACCCACTTGAATCAAAGTGTGAAATATGATATATCAAGAACTATGTAATGTTTTGAAAAGCCAACAATAAAAAATTTAAAAAAAAAAAAGAAACCTAAAAAAAAAAAAAAAGAAAGAACGTGAGCAACTTTCTTAGGCAATTTACTGGTGTTTTAGGATCTGCCAAACCTCAGATTTTCTATATTGCTGCAGTTTGGTGATGGGCCTTGTCATCAGAAAATATTTTATCATGATGGCTGACCTGGGTTGCATGGTAACTTGTCAGTTTATGGTGAGATATATAAGGGACAGAGACCAGGGAAACACTGTTTCTCAAAGGGAAAGTATAAGAAGAGAAGAACATGACATTTTTTTTACTCCAGGAATCTTAAGGATCTGGACATTGATTCAAATGTGAGGGTCTGCCTAAATTTCCAGTTAACAGCCCTGACTTCCACTTTACCTGCAAGCACCATGTAACCAAGCTACAACTCATGCCTGAACCCGAACTGAGTATATACAAATGAGCACTCCCTCACAAGGTGTCCATCCTTCTACCTCTCCTACTGCAACCTATTTCCACCTGCTTCTGGAACACCTGTTTACAGAGTTGAAAGAGTTGTGTGGGAAGAGAAGCTGCATGTGTAAATATAAAGGCGAGTCCCACTCAATAATTCCTCCTTTGTAAATGTTCCTTTGATGACTCCACTGTCATATGAAACCTATCAAGCTATTATTCCATTTTCTGAACTTCTGTAATTCTTTATTCATACATTTTCTTAAGATTTTTTTTCCTGAAATATCATCTGATTTTTTTTTAAATGTACGTTCTGTATAATATATTGCACTTGGTTGGTTGCATACTAAATGGTCAAAGAATGAATGAAAAATGAAGCAATGCCATTCTTCCGGAAGTAATGAAAAGTCATACTTTTTAGGTCATGCAGATTTAAGAGGTAAACGGTTATTTAAAAGGTCATCCTAAACTTGATGTGGTAGTGTGTACCTCTAATCCCAGGCACTCAGGAAAATGAAACAGAAGAATCGAAACCTCAAGATCAGCCTGGGCAACATGGAAAGAATGTCTCAAATAAATAAATAATAAAAGACCATCTTGAGTTCTGAGGATCTAAGTAATGTTCATATTGTCTAAAAGACTAAAATAATATCAATAAAAACAATATTAAAAGAAATTTCCTGTCATAATAAGTTAAACATAAGACTCCCCATCCCACTGCCAGTGTTCTCTGATGTGAGGGTGGTTCTACCTTCTTTGCAGTCTCCTAGCATTGGTTATGTGCTTAGTTCTGTTTATGGAATAATAATTCACAAATTACAAGAAGTCAAATTGAAGGCAAAATTCATTTATAACGCATCAATTACTCTATTTCATTAGGGTATATGTTTTTAAAATTTTAATTTTAATATCAAAGACAATATCTTTTTACCTTGTTCAGCATTGTAAGCCAGCACTAATGTAGCACCAGGAATGAAGTCATTCATTACTCAACAAATAACTTTTAAATGAATTAAGAGACTTGTGTAGGCAGGATTTTTTGAGAATTTTCCGGCAATTCATTTTAAGAAGAATCATCCAGTGAAGGATTAGGTCTGCTTGAGTTCATGACCCATATATTCCCAAAGAACTCAGAGTTCATGGCACAAGGATTCTGAATCAACATCTCACTATTGAATTCTCTCGTTCTTTCTTCTGACAGCAGCCATTGCTGCTCTGACCAGTTCCACACAGGTGCTGACCTACTTCATGAAGTGCAACTTGGCATCTTTTAATTTTAGTCATGTTTTGTACCTCTTATATATGCCCTGGGCTTTTATGCCTTTGTTGTAATTGGGGGCACCTGTCATTATCCAGTTGGCATACAGGCTTGTGTGACCAGAATTGCAAGTGGCCTTTGGAGGTGTAATCAGCATCACAGATTGCTACCTTAACCAATGCATGATGGAAGCAGAGAGGTAAATGTTTCTCACTTACATCCCTCACATCCAGTGTTTCTGAGGTCTTTTAGATTATTCATCAGCAATCCCATGTCAACATTAAACACCCATAGCTTCGTGCTGCCAAGCTTATTGTTTCTTCTTGTAGTAGCTTTTCTTCCTTTCCTTTATTTATTTCTCATTTTTTTCCTATTCTTTAACCATAAAGAGAAGACATGCATTCAAGTCTTTGGCTCAAACCCTGCTAATATATAATTTGACAAGTCTTATATACAAGTCTGAGCTTGCACATGAAATGAAATTTAAAAGAGATGTGGTGACATGCCCATTATCACCAAAATGTCTCCCAAATTCTACCTAGAATTGTTTTATTTATTATTTTGTGTTTCTGAAATCCCACCAATAAAAGATTTCTTTGGATCACCAGCCATCTTTCTTTAAACACAATTATCATGGAAAGAGGCTATGTAATTTATTATTATAATTAAAACAAGAGGCAGAAGATGGAAATAGAAACAGATTTAGAAAGAAAACAAGTCTTTCTAAAAATTCTACAGATTGATACCAGGTTAGCATTATTTAACTGGGAGATACTTAGCAAGGGAAGTACTACTCTATTATGTTTAGTGTGCTATTCTTATCTCCACCCTATAAGAGAATGATGTGTTGATTGGCACAGGTCAAAATAACCATGTGACTTCTTCCACCACTTCTCAATAAATGACTTATCATAATCTCATTCCCCATCTTATGCACCATGACCTTCAATCTTTCCTGGGCCTGTGTGTTAGTTGGTTGTATTTCCGCTTCTTTAGCAGGAGCTTACAATCTTTCAGATGAGTTCCCCCCTCTATGGAAGGAGAGCCCAGGTCAGTTTAGTGACTATAGTGTAGAAAATGGCAAGTACATCATTAACCCCTGGAATTACTCTGAGAGAATAGGAATGTATAAAATTCTATTGGCACAGACAGCCAGATATTTTGAAAAATTTGCTCCAGAAGATGAACAAAATATTTTATGGGGACTGCCTATACATCATGGATGGCAATATCATTCAGGTAAGAATTAATCTTTTTCATTACAATGATGTTTTGATTAAGTTATAAGTTAATTAGAACATAGTATCTAGTATTTAACATCATCTTTTTGAAAATGATCGTTTTTCTCTTAGTGTTTCCCTTCTTATTCTTTTTTTTTTTTTTTTTTGCCTTTTTATTTCACACCCCTCCTATTTTTCTCTTCATTCTTCATTAATCCTTTTTTACCAAGCATTTTTAGAATCTCCCTGTGTGTACAGGTTTTCTACCTGTACTGTCAAAAAAAATTACGGACAATGATGAACATCTTCTATATTTCCAATATACAGTACACAAGCAGGAGCCAACACATATTCTTACATGTGGCTATTGAGCACCTGAAATAACTAATACTTGTGCAAAATTGAAATCTTAATTTTATTTAATTTTGAGTCATTTAAACTTAAATATGCAAGTGCTAGTGATTATCACACTCACTGATGCACAGCATATCAGATCTAGTTCACACCATCAACTAGTATTAATTAAGGTCCTACTAAGAACTAAACTCATTTCCAGGCATCAAGAATTGGATGCAGGAGCAAAACAGGTTAGGTTATATGCATTAAATATACAATAATTTTACCTAATTATCTAATCTACAACTCTAAGTGTGATTAGATAATTAGGTAGATTAGAGTGACACAGGAGAGCACAACCTCTGTACTAGAGCATTTCTCTCAAATATTCCCTTCTTAAAAATAATGTCTACACTAGGACCTAGAGTGGAGATTTGTTTGGGGACAAAAACATTATAAATTCTAAGCTACTTTTTTCTGATCAAGAAGAAATTCAAGAAGTAAGGAAACTTCTCTCTCACCTCCCAGAAACTGTTTTGGTAGAAAGTAACCAATGAGCAAAGGGATGCTCTTGTGGGAAAGACAAGAAAGGAGACCTGCAAGATCTGAACTGTGATGACATCCTGAGCTGGCATTACACCACACTTGTAGGATGATCTCCTGACACCTGGTATGACTATTTTTACTGTCCTCATCATGGTAAAGATAAATATTTTAACTCTGAGACATGATTCGGGAGCAGCCCAAATATAAGGTCCATTGCAAATAATAAACACCACCTGTGAATGGAACAACACATACCCACACCCAGGAAAATTTTTTACTCTGGGTCCGGTGAGAAGCAAATTGAAAGGTGGAATGTTAGATTGGATACCTTTCAAATTTTAATTTTCACTTAGCAGGTGGTTTTACTTAGTATTTACTGAGTTGAATTCAATGATAAAAGCAGAGAAAATTAAAGCAGGTTTAAAAACTGTGAAAAAAAATCTATAAAAGTATTTCTCCAACTCTAGGCTGAAACCCAAAGACAAGGTAAGGACCTTGAGTATCAGAGTAGTTCAGAAAAGAGTAGTAAATATGACCTGAGATAATGATGGGAAGAAAGTGGGACCAAAGGCCTTGCAGAAAACATTGCTAGAGTAATACTTGCAAGATGGCAAGGCAGCAGGCTATACTAGGAATAAGATAAATAGGTTGGCATGCAAATTGGTGTGTGAAACAACTAGTGAGCAGTAATTTAAAAAAAAAAAAATTCAATTAGGGCTAGTTTAAAAGATGTCTTCAAAGTCTGACTAAGGAGTTTTAATTGAGCCCTTTAGCAACAAGGACCTAATGCTTACACAATACTTAAATACCTTAAATGTTTGTTTCTTGTTTGCATAGCAGAGCTTTTAAAGCTTTATTAATGTGTAATAAATATATAATAAACTACACACTCAAAAATGATTGTTTGATAAATTTTGATGTATGTATATGGTCCTGAATTCATCACAGAAATTGACTATATGTATAATGCTTTTGAATTCTTATCTTCACTAACTTTCTCATCCTCCATTGTACCTCTCCACTGCTTCAACTAATCACCCCATTCAACTTCCCATCTTCACAGGTAACCACTGATCTCTCTCTATCACTACAAATTAGATTGCATTATCTAGGATTTTCACGTGAACAGCTATGTACTCTTTTTTTGTCTGGTTAATTTCAGCTGTCATGAATATTTTGATATCCATCCATCTTGAATCCTATGTTAAGATTTCATTCATCTTTTACTGTAATAAATCAATAGTTTATTCATTTTTATGGATTAACAGAAATTTTAATCAAAAAAGTGGAAAAGTGGGAAAAGAATATAAGGAGTATGGTACAAACAGTATCATCAAACAGCAAAAAGGCATGTGAATGAGAACTTGGGGTGGATTTCATGTTTTTCCTCAAAGTGCTTACAACCCTTGGGAAGAAAAGTTAGAAGTGAAACAACCAAAGGAGAATAAAGGTCCAAAGCATAATATGCTGAATAAAAGTGAGATCATTACAAGATTGAAAAATCTGGGAATAGAATAAAATTTGAAATGGATCTTTTAAAAGAATGAAACATTGATGTATCAAGTAAAAGTAGACCATAAGAATAGAATGAACTAAAGAAGAGAATTTGAAATTTTTTTTTGTGTGGACTGTAGGAGAGTAAAAAGAGATCAAGAGGAAAACATTCAGAGTATGAAAGATATATAACTTATGCCAGGGGAATAATATGGCTGGAAAATAGGATAAATATAGGGCAAGAATTTGGGTTTGAATAGCAGTAAATATAGCATCATTTTTTATTTTGAAGAAAAGGATATGACAAACTACAGTTCTTGATCAAGTTAATTGAGAGCAATGTATTTTTTTCCAGGAGATGGCTAGCAAAAAAAAAAAAAATCATCCAAGAAAGTGGGCCCATGCTGGCTCTAAAGAAGGGAGAGGAGGAGCTGAAGATATTAAGAATGGGAGTGAAACTTCTCTGCCAAAACCAAATTAATAACAACAACAAAAAAAAAAAAAAAAACCAGAAAGTTTACAAGTAACCTTACTTGGCTCTCCAGATCAAGAACCAGGTCTCAGACAAACTGTGTTGGAGATGACTTGGAATCACCAATGCAAGAGCTCTGTGGAAATGAAAAAAAAAAAAAAAAAAAAAAAGGAATGTAATGAGGATTCAGAGGTCAAGATATGAAAATGAGCATCATAAGGCAATTCTTAGGTTAGAGTAGTGGGTGAAACTTCTCAGAATGTTAATTTAAAAGGGAAAGTCTTAAAAAACAGATTCAAAATACCATTAACGAAAGAAAACCTCAGAAATAAGAAATATTTCACATAATACTAAATTGAATATTATTCCAGTTTTTTTAAAAAAAATGATTTTAAGATATTACATCCATTAACAAAACTATCCAGATCTTTGCCTACTTGAAGGTAAGTAGGTCAAGAAAAGCCAAGAGAGAATGCAGAAAGACAAAGCAAAAGGGAAAGAGCATAGGTTTGTGGGAAACACGGTTGGACTGCTGAGAGGAAAAGAACACAATGTAAGGGGAAAAAAATTTTAAAAATGAAGAAAATATAAATATGTCAGAAAAAGAGTGGTTAGGAGAAAATAAATGCAAGTACCCAATGGGGGAACAAGGATTGGAGAAAAGAGAGACTGGAGGGGCAAGCGTGGAGTCAAAACCCTGGGGGAAGCTAGAGAAAACCGGAGGTTTGTAAGATCAGAGAGCATAAGCCAAGCATGGAAACAGATGTAAGGGGAAGAGATGTGCATGGATTCAGAAGATAACTCACGGGATATCTAGGGAGTATAGGTAGAAGGTACAACTGATGACAAAATTAAATGGTGGAATGAGCCAGGAAATTTTTGAAAGCTAAGAAACAAAAGAAGGTTCTGCAAAGAAGGAAAAATTAAATACAATAACAGCTAATATATATGGAGCATATGTTTACTGCATTGGGCATTTTGTATGTCTGTCTTCATGTAATACTCCCCTACCCTCAGAGGTAATTTTTTCTAGACCTTTAGATATAGATTCAAATATTAAGGCTTAGAGAACTTATCTTCCAGGGCCAAACTATGAGTAAGCAATGGAAAGGAATTTGGTTTAAGGCAAGGGAAATCTAGATACTTTTAACATACACGGTTATTGACTCCTTAACTTTGAGTTAATATGGAATAAATAACTTATTAAGTACAAGAGACAAGAAGTACAGAGATTTAAAAACTATTGCCTAGGAGGCAGAATAAAGATGTTAAAGCAAAGGAAAAAAATATGAATAAGTTATGAGAAACAAAAAAAAGTTGTAAAGGAAAGAAGTGATTGAGGATGGATAATTTTTTCAGAAAATAAACATTTAGTTTAGTTTTGCAATACACAGACACACACACACACACACACACACACACACACAGTTAAGATTTTGTGTATGCTGGTTAGAAGTTGGCCTAATAAATCCAACTCTGCATCCTCTGTCTTCTAGGTAGACTAGCTGATCCCACCCTTAGGACTGACTGTGGCCATGACTCTGGGGATCCTCTGTGCATCTCTGTGGACAGTTGGTGGGCTGGTGAGTCTAACATAACAAACCTCAAATTGATGACTTTCTATAAAGGATTGATTCAAAATCATACATTGATACAAAAGCAAATAATCCGACTCTAATTCTTGCTTTTCAAAACACAATTGTTTGACCTAAACATTCTGAATGTCTTGAAATGAATTTTTTAAACAGATTTTTAAAATTTGCTACTCAGTGTGTTCAATTATGAAAATGTTATTGGAGAAAACTAGTAACCTCAAAACTTGTTCTAAAGGCATAGGACAGCAGTAGAAATGCATGTCATGCCATAAAATAAAATTTTGTTAAGAAGAAAAATCTAAATATATATGGTAATATTCTAAAGACATGTTAGACTCAAATTTAGAATTAAAAACTTATGAAAAAATGGAAAATATAGCTATCTATAAAATTACAATTTCTTTCCTTTTTACTTGTGCTTTGGAGTTTAACTAGCATTTAAAATTCCATCAATTTGTATTATTGTGATTTAAAATAATGTATCACAGCATAAATCCATTTTTCCTTTATGAGAGTAGGTTTTCTTAAGTAGCATATTAGTATTGCTTATGATCCTTAGAGAAATGATAAAATTTCCAGCATTCTCAAAATTATTGCTTAAGTTTTACCAAATATTTATATATATGTAGAATTTTTATGATATACTTCTTTGTCTAAAACAGATTCTTTTCTATATTAGCAACACTAATAGTAACTTTTTTGATTATACAGACCTTAATTATTATCTCTCCACAATACCCTTCCTTGCTGCTATCGATTCTGGCCTAATGGGAGTATCAGCAGATAATGTCATTCTCCTGCCACCATCCAAGGATCAGACAAATTTTTGTTATAATGTTTCCAGCTGTCATTCATCTTTTCCAGAAGCAATGAAAATGTGGAATAAATTTTACAAGGTTGTTTTTTTAACATTCTTTTAATAATCTTCAAAGGTAGCCAGATTTGATTATTTTATGAAGTATTTTTATACATTGAATGAAACATGAATAAGAAATAATTTCCACAATGATGATGTTAGTAATATTAGTAAGAATAGATGACTACATGACATTACATCTCATCAGCATCCTTATTCCTAATACATTATTGAGCAGACTTTATGCACTCTTCTAATGCCAATATATTACATAAATGTGTAAACACGTAAATGATGGTTTGATGGTACATAAAGTGCTCTGGTTCTTCCTAATTTCAGGTATGTGAGCAATAACTTATATAGATATACAATTTTAGAATAGGTTGTGCTTTTGATAATCTTACTTCAACTTTCTTGATAACCAATCACCTAGGAGTTGACTAAAATGATCATTTGATAATCAGAATCAAACGTTGATATCTAAAGTAATATGTCATGGGTGAAAAAGTGCATGGCCAAAGGTCAAGTTTCCTTTAGAGAACTGACCATTTTATTGCATATGATTAGATTAAATGCTCTTATTTTTCCCACTCCCCCCATTTCTGACACCTAAGACATGGAATGTTCATTGCACGGCCAGAAGAAAAACTAATGAAGCACTAAAGTTCTGGCTTTGAAAAATATAAAATTTTGAATATTTTTAAAAAATTTTAAGTCTTTCTTTATTATATTAAAATATATTAAGTATCATTAGTAATTAATATTACTAATATTAAACACTTTGGACAGTCTCAAGCATTAATAACTCTTTAAAATAATATTCTCCTTTCATTTAGCAAATTGAGAACAAATTTTCATTCAGCAAATTGCCAATTTTTCAAATCTGTTTTTTAAGAAGAAATATTGTATTGTATAATTTCCTAAAAATTAATAACACTTTACTTCTTGGCTAGTGTGCAATGTCACCTTCCAGTAGTTTTGATGACCTGTTGAAGTACATGTGGGATGCACATGTTTCATCCCTGGAGTTTGCTCGTAAGAATTTTCAGAGTAGGTAAGAACAAACCTAATGTTATTTTATTATAATACAACAACAATCTTTCCATCTTTTACTATCATTTTCATTAAAATGTTTTTCAAGTTACTTTTTTAGCTATATGTTGACCATTATTATTATTACGATAAAAAGAAAAGTGACAAGTAACATTTTCCTGAATAAATTCGAAAGGTATTTCATAGTAAGAGATATTTCATAGAAAAAAAGTGGGCTTGTGCCGCCAAAGTATAACAAAGTAAAATAATAAAACAAAACATAACCAGAAGTAAAAAGGGTGTCTTTTTTGTTGTGGTTAAAAGCTGTTTAAACACAAACTAGGATCCATAAAACAAAAGGACATAATGGGAAGTAATAATAGAATTTCTGCTCCATTTCGATCTGAGACTACAGCTTGACTAACACATATTTGGAAGGAAATATTATCTTTTATTATGACACACAGCTAAGACAAAGTCAAAATTTTCTCCATTGCCTAGCAAATGAAGTGGAAAGAGACAGCATGACTTGGCATGGAAGAAAAACAGCACTGTGTTAGGAATGGTATCTGCTGTCCAGAGTGAGGCACCAGATAGAAAGAAGAAAGAGTGGGGGATGAGTTACAGGAATATTTATAACCACAGCATATGTGGTTGGGAATTTCTTATTAACCACCTGACCCTATACCCACTTTAGATAAACAAAACAGAGTCAGGAGGCTTACATTGCTTTGTGTATTTTATCTCAGTATCATTTAAAGAGCAGATGTTTATATTGTACAATGGCATATCATTGAGATGAATTATAATTAACTGTTAAATCTATTTTTGATGACTACAAAAAAAGGGTGAGATTATTAGCCAAGAAGTATTGAAGAGGTTAGCAACATCAAGACTAGATCATAGAGCAAGTCATTATAGAAAAGAGTTTTTAAAAAACTATTTTTTTCCTATATTGGCTTTCCCCATCACTTACAAAACTACTGTAGTCTAGAAGATTGCAACTCTTAAAGGGTAGTGAGATCAGCACTAAGTATTTGAAATAAAAATTCAGAGCTAAATTAATTGCTTTCTAAAGGCGGTATGAGCCAGGGTAGTCCGGAGCAGCATCAATATCTGCTCATTTTCCAGAAGTTTTTGGATGTGTAGAGCTCAGGGATTGATTTTCATGTATGTATTGAATTGAATCATCTGTATAAAGCTACTCAGGTGAGACTCAGAAGCACTAGAGGTATGTGTGTTGGAGGCAGACCATTTCTGATTGTTTGAATTTCAGATACAAAGGGAAGTCACTGATTGGAGGCTTGCAAAAACCTTTTCACTGAGGCAAGTTGTTGATTGATTGAAGCTGTCTATATGTGATTCAGTGGACAAATGTTACTTTGGAGCACAATCCCTTTTTCCTAGGGATGAAACAACTTTTAAATCTCAAAAGCCTAAGAGTTCTTTAAGGGATTAAAGTCCAAAGATGCTTGTATATATCATTTTCCATCATTTATTTTCCATACTTCCTTATTTGTTCATACTAATTGCTATGAAATGTTTAAATAATTTTTGGAAATACTTAACTAATTTTTGGATAGACCAAATTTATAAGTAACTGAAGATGAAACAAGATCAGTTGTTTGATGATTTTTATTATCATTTTAAATATGAATGGTCTATTTTTTCACACACTAACTCAGGGAAAAAAAAAAAACTCTTCTTTTCCTTTCCAAGTAAAAACCTACATATATAAGTACAATTAAGAACTTCTTTTTTAGACCAACATATTTACTTTATTTCTTGAATTTCTATCTTTCTTATATGATTCTACAATTGCCAACCTCTAACTGTGTAAAAAAAAATTAATAGAAGTATATGTGCCAGAATCTGGACTATGAATATTCTTATCTCTCACTTAGTTCTTAAAAAAATACATTTTGATATATCTGAAGTTGCACAGATAGTCAGTGGCAGAAAGTATTTTAAGTTTTGTCTGGCTCAAAAGCCCATGCTTTCATCCTCATTGTTATTATTTTTTAGGAAACTGTGCTTTTACAAATTGTTGTACAAAGGTCAATGTCAACCACAGCTCTTCTTCCTCTTTAAATATAGCGTAAGCAATTAATAGCAGTTTCTGAGGCTGTAATGTGCAAAATTAGATGATCAGGTACAATTAGGTAATTAGTTTCTGATACAAAAAGATAGATTTCATAAAGAGTTTTAGAAAATAAACTGAAACATACCATAACTTTTATCAGGTAAGTAAACAAACATTCTCTTCATACCTACTTTACTGTGTTTTATATCAGACTTTGTTCTTAGTTTTCTCCCTCATTTAGGACATCCTATTTCTGAGTGGAGAAGGGTTGATGGTAGGTAAAAACCAATGTTTACAGGTTTCACATAGCTTTATTCCACCATGGTGCTCAACTGGTTATTTGTATGATAATAGGGTCATAGATTTAAAATATTTTTATTTTAGATATAAAAAGTCTCCATTAAATTTTACCTAAATTATTTACAAGTCTAAATTATTATGTTTATTGATCCTTTCAATGTATCTTGTCCTTTCAGAATATTGAAGGGTATTTTTTTTCACACAGCTTCTGAAATTTCAATTAGTTCTCTCTTACTGTGTGTTATTTTCCCTTCACTTTAATTAATGCATTGTCTATCTAAAATGTAATTTTTTTCTCACTGTTATAGAATGTTGAGTCTATAATATTCAACATTATTTCTATGTTGAACCCTCTATTCAATAGTTCTAATTTAAGTAAATTTTTCTTTCATTTTCCACATTCTTGTCTTTCCTAACTTCTAATACATTTCCATAAATTTATCTTCTAACCCCTTGTTAATATTTTACTTATTCTACTATTTCTGATTTCAAGGAATCAATATTTATGAGGATTTTTATAGTATCTTGCTATTGCTTTTTCTTTGCAATTACTTTTTATACCTCTGTGAATATTAGAATAATAGTGATATTATCTAGGATTTTCTATAACTTTTCATTATTTTCTTTGTGTGGTATGTTTTATTTATGCTAACTCCTAGATATTTAAAATAGGAGAAGTAAGGGGCAGACTCAATCTCTTTGAGCAGAACTAATGCTTGCTTATTGCTGTAGTGTAGAGCATAGGTAGGTCTGGGCAATTAAAATGAGTAACTTTGCTTTCATTAAGTTTATGCCTTTCTTCCTGAATTGGTTGAACATATGATACATTTCCCATTTTTTGTTTTAAGAGAGAAGGCCGAACTCAGAGCACAATGACAGTCCAGTGAGAGAAGTGTGTATGTTCACTTAGGATCTCAATTTGAAGCTTGTTGTTGCTTTCATTTGTACCCAATTTAATGCAGTTCAAAACTCACTACTTTGAAATTCAGATAATCAATTCATCACTGTACAGCAACAGCTCAGTAGGACATTTTGAATCTATCTGTTTTTTAGCAGCTTTTCAAAGGAGACTTCCTTTTTACAGAAATTCACTTTTGCTCCCAAATTCGAGTCACTTGGTAACACAATTGTTTTGAGAATTATACACAGTATACAGCATATGTTTCCTCCATTGCTGTTTTAGTTCAGACTTCCAGGACCTGCTAAATCCTTTATTGTTCATCCATTTGATTTTCAATCCTAAATGTGATGTAGTTGCTTCTTCTCTTTACCCACAGCTTTATTGCCTCTGGTTGTTCAAGGAGCCAAAAGAGATGCATGTATTCAAATATCCATTTTTACACCAAAGGTCTTCTATTATCTTCGTGCTTAAGAATATAGACAAAATTTTATTATTTGGCAATGTTTTTGTAATATAGATGAGCTTATTACCTTATTTTGTATTAGTTTTGTTTAAAAATACCACAAATTGTTGGCTACTAAATTACTGCACTGTATGATTATTGTGTGGCCAATGAAAATTGTTCTGAATGTATCCTTTGATGGTAGGTAGGTTTCATGCCTGTCAATAATATGCAAATCTCCAGTCTTGGTGATGAGTCTTATAGTTCATAAACTAAGATGTTGTAATATTGTGTTTGTTAATATATTAATCATTCTTTGATTAAAATACTTTCTTAGAGTTTAAGATCATGTGTGTGTGTGTGTGTGTGTGTGTGTGTGTGTTTGTCAGAGCAATCTGAGTATTAAACCCTGACTCTATTGAACATGAGAAGTCTCTAATCCATTTTGTACCAGTAAAATGGGATGAAGAGCAGGATGTAATATGTAGAGTTGTTTTGATAAATACATGTAACATCTAAAATATAACTTATGTCAGAGAAAAAGAGATGACTGTAAGGTAATTTCTGTTGTCAGAGACATACTGGATAGTCACTAAATATAGGATCCTAGAGCCAGAACATCAAGTCTTAAATCCTATATTTGCATATTATCAGTTGTAGAAATAATTTTCTACAACTTTAATTTTCTCTACCTAATTTCATTCTTCATCTATCAGAAAGAAATAATCCAAGAAATATTTCCAGAATAGCAGAATGAAGATCTAAATTTATTCTTTCATAAAACTCCTGATATAATCAACATTTCAGAATTATCAGAATTAACCAATGACTTAAAAGTTCCTGAAAAAAGTTATTCAAAAAGTGAAGAACTTTGATAAGAAAAATAGGGTCTGTGATATTTTAACTCAGCTTCTACCATTTCCCTAGCTTTGCATGGTCTAAAACACCAGCAACCTAGCAACTGCTGCACTGGGAAAACTAGCAGCTGTGTGATCACAGAAATTGCTGGATTTGCCACTTCTCACAAAGTCTCTTTCCTGGAGCTATGTCATTATTTCACCTGACTTAACAGCTCTTTGGAAAAACTGCATCTCAGACTGTTGCAGTTATTTCAACTTCTTATTCTGAGGGAAAAGCTTTGTGCCCAGGGCATTTGGAGATAAAAATTAGCATGAATCATTTAACATCTTAGGTGCCTGAAACTGATACAACAGTTAGAAGAAACAAGAGGTAGGCCTGAATCATAAAAGGCAATCTGGGGAATAAGAATTCCATAGGGGATTTTGAAAACTTCTG